TAGTATTTTCTTTACTTTCTTTGATTCTGGAAATGTGATAAAACACTCTTTCGCATGCTTGGTACAGTACATTATTCCAACTCTTCTCAATGAAACTTACCCGAGAACTTTGGCACAGACTTCGGACATTGAGATAAGAAAATATGTTGAGCAGAACATGGTCTGGAACACAGTTTAAATCTGTTCGATCTCTGAGCCTGAAAAAAAATAGACAAATCCAGAACAACTGAAAACAGCCAAGAAGTCATTAGTTGTTTCAATTCCATGTAACTGGACATGCACAAAGTACAAATTGGTAATCTCTGCCCAGTTCCAAAAAGTTACAGATGTAACAGTATTTTGTGATTGTCCATAAACACTAAAGAAGTAAATAAGTACCATTACCATTGCCAGTTAATACATTACATTAGTATAATTTCCAGAAGTGAATATAAGAATTGGACATTCTGATTGGTTGAAAAGCTCATCATATGAAAGCTATATTCACCCCACTAGAGCTTGATTATTAAGCTCACCATCTTTGCCATCTCAGCAAGTAAACATGGCGGACAGTTGCTGAATGAAGTTTTCAATAATTCGAAAGACGTCACTCCAAGTCCAGAATATTTGACAGGATGGAGAATTTTCAAAATGACTGCTGTCGCCCTTAGACCAAAAATCTTTTCAAGAACTCGTACTCAAGGCTTTTAGGAATCGTAAACGCAGTGGTTGCATCAATCGCCAGCAGGTCAGATGGATTGACCAAAATTTATTTTTCTTCAAACTAAATAAGCTACTCATTTTTAGGCGATGAATTAACAACTGTGAATGAAGTCAACAATGATAAAACAAAGGTACTGGATGAATTCATTTTTTTTAGTGTATAATGAGTAAATTGATTGACAATTGATGTACATGTAAGCTTATTATTAAAACTGCATACGTGTATGCACACGAACAACTGCGTCTATGTTTTTATGTTTTAGTCTGTTATTTTGTAGTCCTTGATATTCACCTCTGAAAATTATACTAAAACAATTACTCCCATTGGCGAATTGTTAATTAATTAATAACATATGTAAACAACCACTGCATGACCATAACATTCATATTTTAATAATAACTCTAACTTATATGCTCTCTAATCAGCCCTGTCAAAATATTTTGTAGTAGCAGTCAGAACAATAGAAGGAGTAGACAGTGATGGCCAGAGATGGATTTGTTATATAGTCAGGATTAGTGAACTCCAGAGTAATATAGGCCGCAAAGTTAACTGCCAGCTGCCTGCACATTTTAACAGGGCTGTTCTCATGTTCTTCCATTACTTGTGGGATATCTGGATTTCCCCAAAAAAATACCATCCCAATAAAATAATGTCACAGAGATCTGCGTGGTGTCTAAGTAGATCTACATAAAGCTAACCTCATTACTGTTGCACTAAGTTTGATCGAGTCTGTGATGTACATCTTTCAAGAAAGGGAAGGACTGAGTCTCCAAAGGGAGAAATCTGATTGTTGAGGTGATTAGTTTTTTCTTTCTATTTTACCTTTGAGCCAAACACTGAGCAAAGAAATTGAGACATTCATCATCACAACACTTCACCACTTCTGACAGTAGTTCCACTCTCTCATGTGTCTGCCAATCATCTAGCCACTGATCAAACAACAGAAAAACAAAAATACAATAATGTCTACAAATAAGTGTAATATCAACATGAGAGTGAGTAAATCAAGAGTATGCAAATCCTGTCACAACTTTGATCAGCGAGAACTAACTCACTGTTGCTCATCATAAACTCGCTTCAAATTCAGTACTACTCTGGTGAGGTATTAAAGAAACTGCAAAAAATTGCCAATGCTATTTTCAAATAAAACTAACAAATCATTCAGAATCAGTTTGTACTTAGCATGCATACTGGTATATCAAGTAAGGGATGCACGCGGAAAGTTTGGAGAACACAAGAGACGCCTAAGAGTTGCTTGAGGCTCAGCTGCGAGCAACTCTAACTTCTTTAGTGCTCTCCAAACTTTCCACATGTCATAAAGAGATATATACCATGGCAGCTCCATAGAAGTCAAATAGGATGGGTGTTATAATGTAACTTATACCTGGTGAATCTGAGAGATTTGTGATTTAAAATGATTTGACAGTTTACTCTTGTGTGGCTTCATGAGCCGGGCACCCTTGTGACCTTCCCACCACTTGTCATGTTTAAAGGTAACTGGTGCATATCCATATAGCTTATCAGTATCGCCAGTCCTCAAGGTGGTTTTCATATTTCCAAGCTGTCGATGATTAAAGTTTGAGAAAAAATTTGGCGTGCTCACTCTCCTTGAAAACGGTGGAGCATGTTCATGCCGGCGGTTTTCCTCCACATCTATAGCTAATTGTACAGTATGGGCTGATGCTGTCATAGGTGAACCCCCTTCGGGGGAGATGGGGGACTCCGTCTGGCCGAGAGTCCCCCTGTCTGCAATGTTTGTATCACTCAAATTCATCTGAACCCCCCCTGATTCACTCTGAAAACTGTCTGAATCCCCGTCTTTAACATTTCCTTTTTCTGTTACCATATTTGAAGAATTAATCCGATCTATTTCCTGCGAAGGTTGAAGAGCGATCATTAGCTGTTCCGCGCTAAAGCCTTGGTTAGCTTGGACTGCCTCACTAGCTACTGGAGCAGTTCGAACTAGTCGAGATTGTAAGAGACTTGTTGGGTAAATTCCTTTCAGTCTGGCCGCAAAATCTCTGTGAAACACTGGTTCAAGAGTCGTCACTAAGGCCTGTAGCTGGCCCTTGGTACACTTGTCAGATACACCGCATAATAAAATCCGTTGTTGCCAAGATCTCCAGCCAGTGAACCATTCGCACACCTTCTTGCAGATTTGTTTGTGAGAGAACAAACTGCTCACTAATTGCACATCAACAGTGCTAAGTTCCAAGCTTGGCAGTATCAACGGCTTGTGAGTATTTTTGAATCCTACTCGCTTATTCTTCTTTCCTTCTTTGGACGTGTTGGCTTTAACGACCGGCAGAAAAGTCAACTCATCCCTGCAGTCCGCCATTTTGGCGGCATCTGTATTGAACTCTCTTGTGTTCCCTAGCAACCGTGCACAAATCAGGATGCTCGCCTCCAGATCTCTACAGACCGTTGACGGCCGTTTCCTTGGAGACAAGTTTATCGTCGCTTGCGTGCTCAAAATGGTTGAATAAATCCTTTATCGAGAAAGCCGGATAGATATTGGCGACTTTTTCTATTAGGATGGTTCTGCGACTTTTTTAAATTACTCCTGGATTCGAAAAACTCAGGAGGGTCTAAAAAAACCACCTTGCATACGGCCGGTGAGCATCATTATCACCTCGGGATTCAGCCGGCGGGGAAAGGCTGTCGAACTGTCCCATAAAGTGAAATGCGGGTCAACAGGAAAGGCATTGAAGTCGGGCAACTTTGCTCAGTGGAGATGGCATTGAATGTTCACAAATTTATAATTCCAAAAACCATCCCAGGCTGTAAAAAGTGAAAAATATAAAACATTTTGGGTCTGCAAGCCCATGTAATTTGGCGCCAAAAATGGGTAGCTTGCAGAACAGGCGGATTAGTGGGGCAGAGAGCGAAACGCGATACACGAGCGCGGAGCGCGAGACGAAAGAAACATGACGGAATTTTTTCGTTTCGCCCTTCGCGCTCGTGGTCGTGCTCCGCGCTCGGATATCGCGTTTCGTTCTCTGCCCCGCTAATCCACCTGTTCTACCAGCAAAAAAAATGGGTCACCCGCGTCCGGCAACTCGCTCGTGGAATGTCGCCATCCGGTAGGATACTCAAATTGCGGTCGTTTCGCCCGATAGGCCAGTTCGCCCAATGCCAGTTTTCCCGGGCTGTTACCTTCGTGTTTAGTTGATTAAGGAACGAGAAACAAACAAGTTTTGTGTAATTTTGTTTCATAATGCCCATGAAAAAGTACGCCTCAAAAATTCATCCTACGTTGTGTCGGTTTTTGCTTTTATATTCTTCGTTGTCAAGTTTTCGCAGACTTATAGTCCGGGCGAACTGGCATCGGGTGCGCGAACTGGTTATCGGGCGAAACGACCGGTTACCGGATACTTCTTTTGCTATTTTGAACAAAATACCTTATTTACTAAATAAGGTATTTTGTTCAAAATTTTATTTTCGTAAGACAGCTTTGACTGCAACTCGTACTGCGGACGCAGCCACCGTATGCAAGGTAATCTTGTGACGCGGATTTTGTTCACGTGGATATAGTACAGCCCATGCCCAAAGGGTCTTTTACATGCATTTTCGTCCGTAACGAAAACATTCGAGGTATGTGAAGCCTGTCCCAAGTAACACTTCAGGTATAGTGCATCCATGCAACACGCGTGGTGACATTTTATCAGCGCGGAAGAACTGGGTACCATGTCCAAAAATAACTTGAGAGGGATTCACTCTGTCACCCTTCATCTTCTCTTGCACTGGGTTATTATGAACAATACCACGTCGCATTATCGTGATTAGAACTAAAAAATCCAAAACCCCATACTGGATTATGACACAATTATGATACAGCACAGCCGGATTCTGTTCGTTCTCATGATAAGCTAAACTAGAAAGCTATGTTTTATCAGAGTGTATTCCAAGGTTTGTCTTACACGCTGGTTCGTTGAGCCGGGCGTTACATTTTAGATATCGTTTCGTCTGGAGGACATATTCTTTCCAGTTTAGTATACACAATACAGAGGAGCCCCGGCCGCTTTATATGGACAGTTTTGTTTGTCCCGATCGGCGAAAACTCCTGTACTGGGTCTGTACTTCTCTGTTACTTACCTATTTCGCGGGAAAGGAAGTCTAAAAATAGACCGGTCTGTGAAAATGCCATGGAAGACAGATTGTTAGTAGTACATAATTTTTAATTATATACTAAATGAATTGTATATATAGTAAATGAATTTGTAATGATATATTTGTGAACCCTGATGAATTTTTTCTGTGTCTAAGGAATAATTAAAGATTGAAGATTACTTTTAGCCCACTTCAGCACGGACACTGATTGATATCGACAACGTACACTTTCATGGGACGTGCACACTCTCATACAATGTTAACCTCTTTCTGTGGACGTTAGTAAGTAAGTAAGTAAGTAATTAGCTTCATTTTACCAGAGTAGCCCATTCAGCAACGGGGCTGGTATTTTGGTTATCTTGTGCACTGTATATCTCCAGGAGCCCATCACCAGGAGCCGGTGCAACTCCCGTACTAAGGCTATGTCACGGTATTTTCACAGACCGGTCTATTTTTAGGCTTCTTTTCCCGCGAAATAGGTCAGTTCCGGTCTACATGAACGTGCATCGGTAAAGAAAAAAAGTCGGCCTTCAGGTGGACATGTCGACATAACAAAATTGAATAAATAATAAAATGCGCTAATTCCCTCTCTATTTTCATGGTCACTGAGGTTCCTGCGTGGGTCTGAATTCGCGGTAAATTCAAACTAAAAATAGATCGGTCTGTAAAAACGCCGTGACAGGAATATGGGGTAGTTGCACGCTTCTAGTGATGGGCTCCTGATGTGTCGTGGTTATATGCAAATCGTATTGTCTGAAAATGAAAGCTTTTTACAGGTTAGCGGCGCGACATGTATAACAACATGGTCTTTCTTCTGGTGTATTGACCTTCTAAACCTTAGTAAGAGACATTTGAGTAATATAACGACTGTTACACTCCTTCAGGTTGAACTTAAATTAGATTCAAGACGTTAAAAATCGTTCCGCATGCCTAAAATTCTGTGTGCTTTAGATGTATTTGTATCCGAATACATAAAACATATGCCCTTAACGTTTATCCTGACACCCGCTCAATTTCGCATCAAAATAATTTTGCCTGAAATTCTGGCAACTGAAAGACTTTGCTAAGGTTAACATGAAAACAGATTTAGTTTGATTCGAAATGATTTTCCAGTCGCGTTAGGTGCCATTAAATATTTCCAAGGGCTCTCCCCTCATTTTCTCTTGATATTTCTCCACCTGGGGGTCGTCGCGCCCTCTCCAAAAGTGAAATTTGCAGTTTTCGTGGCGCTGTTAAATATTTGATTCGCAACATCCAGTAATGAGCCTTATGACAATTTTGAAGAAATCACCCCATTTAGGGGCGGGCCATTGACTTTTGAGGGGGAGGGCGGGTGATTTTGGAGACCTCGCTGAAAAACATTCTCGCTCGTTCAGTGAGCCGAAAAAAGCACAGTTCAGATACGAAGAAAAAATATCATGTATGCACACGTCGCGGGCAAAGAAAGTATTAAAAAAAATCGCACCTGTACCAAATTATTTCCCCCTCTCTCCCCTCTCTCCCCTCCCCCTTCTCCCCCACCTTAAAAGTCAAATCAGGTTTTCCCCCCCTCCCACCTTGGATCACTGGGTCGCTCCGCTAACGCGACTAGAAAATCATTTCAAATCAAACCGAAATTTATTTTTATTCTAGCAGTCTTGGTATAAGATTTTTATTTGCCAAATTCTCAGGCAAAATTATTTTTGATGCGAAATTGAGTGCTGGGTGGTTTTTACAGAGACAGCCTCTAACTGTTTCCCTTTGATGTTCGTATTAACCGAGTTCTACAATATAAGGAATGTTATGACATAAATCCATATATATAATCAAGCACACGAAAGGCCAGTTCTAAGCGCTTCACTATAGGTGTTTTACAGCCTCCAGTTATATAGGTCTTCCGACAGAAAAGGATTATTTTTTTTTTTAACTTAAGAAAATGTCAAGGCGTCGATACTGAGGATTTCAATGGGGTTAAGTGAGAAGTCTCAAGCTGCTTCAAGTTATTCCTAAACCGAGAAATGAGGAAATGGTTACAGTAAGAGTGGGTCAGCTAAGATGAGTGATGCAATGAAGAAAGTTCATCTGTGACCGGCCAAAAAGTTGCTTATTTTTGAATATAAACCACCAAAATAAACTCCTTAAGGTTGGCATCTTTGCTGCTCATTCAGTATTGCTTGAGATCCAGTGCGGTTTGGAAACTGAAAAATGTCAAAAATGCTGCGTCACAGTTATATACATAGCAGCTACTGTAATTCCATGCTGTTGAACATTGTTTTTCGTAATTCCGTCAATGTATAAAGTATTTTAAGGAGCGTAGAAGTCTTTCATTGCCTTCACTGAATACTGAGACAAACTCGACCGATTGGAGACAAGTCAGAGATCAGAGGGACAGGTGAGACAGGACAATTTTGTCACTTCTATTAACTAAAAAGCCCAAACGTTAAATGTTTAGTTAGCACGTTAACTTAGCTATGTCGTTCATAACGCTACGCTCGGTACTGAAGTAAGTTTCAACAAATCCCGCCATGGCTTAAGTCATATGTATAGGTATGCTGGTAGTCTTATATAGCAGCCAGGGCCAAAGCCAGTATAGGCAAATCGAGGCATTTGCCTTAGTCATTGTTTTTGTTTCTGTCGTTTCTTTTTAGGAGGGGGAAAGTAGAACACTGCTAAAGAACTAGTGAGAGAATTTAACCATGGACATTGCCTCAGTCTTTAGTATTTTTCCTTCTAAGGCCCTGGCAGCGGGGCTGATACTGAAGGGCGGACAAGTTGAAGTGGTGGGTTACCGTAAAACCAACAGCCACAAACTTCGTGTGGGCGATACAGAGCTTATCTGAAGAATGTATGACAACATATTGCAACAAACATGCCAAACACTGAGAAACTTGCACCACAATTTACAATCCCTGTAAAACACTTCCGACACGTAATAATTTACGTCATTTTAAAGTAGATTAAAGTTTCCTTTCATTATAATTTTCGATAACCGTCGAAAGCATAGGTTACATAACTTCTGATAGTTGTCAATACTGAAAGACAGGAGCGACGCAGAATTTATGAACGTTCTCAAAAAATTCTTGTGTAATTTATGTTGCAGGTAAATTTATTACTCCTGCTAGCTTTTTGCCTTAAGGGTACTGATGAATTAGACTGTTAGAAGCACGCTACCACCCCCAAAGCCGCGCACCGCTCAATGCCAACTCTAAAAGCTTTTAAAACTCCAACAGATTAGTTGTCTCCCTCATCCACGCAACGCCAGAAAGGTCTTCAATTTTCCCGCTCTTTTATAGTAGGAAAAACAAGGTTTAGTTACTATCTATTAACGGGAAAAGACGAAGACGGCTTGGCCGAGTCTACTAGTGTGATTTGGAACAATTCATATTTAGACTAACGAATCAACACTTGATGATGCAATACAAAAAGAATTGAGCGACGGTCCAAATTACGCGAAATAAGAGGTAGTTTTGAAAGACGCACAGCTTTGATAAATGTGCTCACAAACAATTGTAAGAAAAAAAAAACATTATCTGACTTAAATTCTTAGTTGGACTCGACATTTGGAAGCAGGAATTTTAAGACATAGCCCCATATCAATCAGTTTGTTTTTCAGGTCTTTTCCTTCCCCGAAACACCATATACTGGCCTTCAGTCACTTCTTTGTTTATAACTGAGATTCCCGCAATCACCTGACACGTGATTTGCATGTTTTTTTATGGTATTCGAAACGTCTTC